GGGTTTCCCTGCCCATGGCAGGGGGGTTGGAACTAGATGATCTTTCAAGTCCCTTCCAATCCAAACCATTCTATGATTCTATGACAACATGCAAATTTGGAGAGGAAGCAGTGATAGCAACTATCAGCTGGAACTCACTCCAAAGCAGGAGTTGTTCTGCGTTTGTCTTCTTTTGAGCAAAGAGGTGAGATGGGATAACGGAGAAGGTGATCTCCTGGAGCGATGGCTGGAGTGGGTGGAAGGGCAGAGAGGAGCCCTTGAGATACCTGGGCTGGGGCGAAAACCCCTCATTTATGGGCTTAACAAGAACATGGAAAGGAGAAGAAAAATAGCCCAATGAAACACCAGGTAGCAGGAAGACTGTTGCTTGAGCTAATCTCGGTGTCTGACACACTGAAATGGTCCGATGCATTTTATTGCAGTGACCTTGACCATGCAGTGGGAAACATCAGGGCTTCTCTTAGGAAAAAAATAGCATGTGCTACGGTTGACAGAAGCACATGGATTGTCTCTGCATCCCCTCTGGGCAGGACAGCAGGAACCACGTTGTTTTGCAAGCAAGCCCAGCTCAGGCCCTGCAGATTCCACCTTCACCAGCTGCAGCCCAGCTCCAGCCCAGTTCAGCCTGGTAGCTGGAAATGGGTAAGCAAGCAGATGACAGCCAGACTGCTGCAGCCACGTCGGCCAGGTCCTCACTGACACACCTGCTCGGAGCTGTTGGTGATCCTCAGGGAACAAGATCAGCCAACCTGGAGACCATTCCCACCGCTGCCTGGCAAAGAGCCACTTCCACAATCTCATCTTTCTCCAACATGGAGCAAAACTCCCACTATTAGCAATACAAATATCCTGGTTAAGTCACTATCCTCATTCCCACCAACTTTAATAGGGTGGGAGAGGTTAGAGGATGGTCAACTAACCTGCAATCCAAGCCCCTTGGGCAGGTGTTTGTAGCACCAGGTGGAGGGGAGACAGGTGAATACAAATGGATGCTTTTCAGAACCTGAATTTAAAATTTCACCAAGCTTACAATTGAAATTGGCAGTCCTATTTTTTTAAAGGGCATCATTAACTGCGCTTTTTTTTTTTCCACCTGACGTTACAAACTTATAACTCGGTTTGTAACTGCTCATTGGGAAAATATCTTCCGGTGTCAAATTCAGAAGCATGGGCAGCCCTGGGAGCACAAAGGCACAAACGTGAAAAGAGTTCAGCTTCTTCATTTTGCTCCAAGAGCATTAAATAGGGTGCAACCCCCCCAGCTTTACACAAACCTACAGCCAGAGCCTACAAATAAACTGGTTTCTGGATTTGTCTGGCTATGGTTTAGCCAGACAGTGAAGGTCCTGTAAACACGAACCTCGAGCGGGGAAAACTGCCCTCTTAAGTGCCTCTTCCTCCATTAAATATAGAGGGAGACTAAGTTACCTTACTTATACTAAAATAAAATCCTTAATGTTTACACAGAGAGGGGAAATGGCTTTAGTCCCCGTGTCAACGCTGCCAGGTATCGATATGCAATGCGGTCAGGTCAGAGGGGCAAAAGGATCCCCCCAAGTGCAGCGAATCCCCTTTGTTACCCCCCTGCAGGCTGCAAATCTCCGAGCCTGTTTAGGCAGGCGAAAGATTTATTTCACAAAGGCGCCAGCCTTCCCCACGAGCCCCACTGGTGCGTTGTCTGAACCAGAAGGAACAGCCAAAGTTCTGTGTTTCACCAAGAATATGAAGAACAACATCTCCGCAATGGCCTTTCAAGTTCAGTTATATGAAGTCACCCATTTTCTTACACTAGCAAGGGTCTTTTTTACTTCTCCCTCCCACTACCAGAAAACAAAAGATAAGGTTAAAGAAGCATAAAAACAAAAGCAACAAATTAAATTCCACTGAATTCAATAGCCGTTCTTGACTAAGAAAAAAGGGGGAAAAATATACCCTGTGATTTGCTCTACCTTTGAAAAGTTGGCTGGAGCAGCACAGCCGTTACACCTTACACTGGCACAGCACCGGCAGCCCTCATCTCGCACTCCCCGAACACTCGGAGAGGGCAAAATGATCTAGCAACCATCTTGGCCCTGCATGCAAGGCAGAGCTAGTCCTGGAAAAGGGGACTCATCGCACTGGAGCCACCTGAAAAGCTGGATATCTAGTTCAGATCAGCAGCCAATAGGAAAAATACCCTTGGGAATTCTCCTCCATTCAAGATAAGGGGACCTACTATAAAGGGTAGGGAAACTGAGGCACAGAAGCACATATAATCACCAGTCAACAGTTAAGCTCTTTGGAGAGCCCACCCTCAGGCACAGCACGTGAAGTTCTGGCCAGCCCTGCTCAAACAGCGGCAGCTGAGTGAAGAGAGACAACATCCCACACACACCCCACCACCTGATCCTACCTCACAAGAAATTCTTACCTGAAGGGCATGACCAGACATGCTACAAGGAAATCTGCCATGGCTAAGGACATAATAAACATATAGGTGACGGTGCGCAGCCTCTTTTCCACCACCGGGCAGATGAAGACTACCATATTTCCCAGGAGCGTGATCAAGTCAATGAGGGTCAGTATCAGCCCAATGACCACCTCCTGGAGGCTGATCTCTGCCCAGTTGCCACCTCCTTGCACAAAGGAGGAGAAATTAGAGAACCAAGATTCATTTTTGTCCATCGGCATCTTCCCACTGTTAAGGTCTGAAAGAGAGGAAAGGGAGAAAAAAAAAATAATAAGGGCTTTAATGTAGATGACTTGAAGGTCTACAAAAGGAAGTATAGAAACAATGTTTATGCTTCATTTACTTCAAGGAAAATCCACACACCTTGCTGTGTCTGTGCCATCATGGTCCCATGGTTATCAGTCCATCAGAAGTGCCTGAAATCCTGAGGGTGAAGACGGATGCACAGCATTGGCTGAAGTCCTTTGTGGCAATTCAAAGCCCTCCTGTGAAGGAAAACACATCATCTGGTGAAGTGTGGTACAAAAAAAAAAAAAAAAAGAAGAGCACTGAGAGCAGAGAGAGGACAAGCAAGCAAGCAAGCGAAATCGAAAATTAAAGCAGCTCTGCTAAATCCCACTGAGCAGCACGCCATGGCCACAAAACATGGGGGCTGAAACTATACCATCTTTAAGGTCCCTTCCAACCCAAATCATTCTATGATTCCATATTCTCATTGTCATCTTTGCCACCCACAGAAGGGGTGAGACTCCCCACCCAGGCTGCTGCTTCCGTAACCCCGCTATCCAGTACATGCTCTGCCCTGGGTCATCCTGGTACTTCTTTAGGCTCTGAAGTTAAGAGCATTTTACAGTCGTGGTGGGCAGCTCCATCCTACAGTCTGAATGGCCACACAGAGCTGCCGGCAGCCACGCAGGGAGCTTAATGCAAGTAAGCAAGTAACGGAGGTGTCGTGGGACAGTGGTGACCTCAGACTCATGTCCCTGTCTGTGCCCAGCTGGGAGAGGATGCTCCCAACTCCATAATGGGGGACTTTTATGTTGAGGAAATTCACATGCTTGTGTCCACAGCTCAGTTATAGAATCATAGAATGGTTTGGGTTGGAGGGGACCTGAAAGATCATCTAGTTCCAACTCCCCTGCCATGGGCAGGGACACCCTCCACTACACCAGGCTGCTCAAAGCCTCATCCAACCTGGCCTTGAACACTTCCAGGGACGGGTCATCCACAACTTCTATGGGCAACCTGTTCCAGCACCTCACCACCCTCAGAGGGAAGAATTTTTTCCTTATATCTAATCAAAATCTCCCCTTGTTCAGTTTAAAGCCCCTTGTCCTATCACTACACGCCCTTGTAAAAAGTCCCTCTCCAGCTTTCTTGTAGGCCCCTTTAGGTACTGGAAGGCTGCTATAACATCACCCTGGAGCTTTCTCTTCTCCAGCCTGAACAACCCCAACTCTCCCCACCTGTCTTCAAAGCAGAGGTGTTTCAGCCCTCAGGTCATTTTTGTGGCCCTCCTCTGGACTTGCTCCAACAGCTCCATGTCCTTGTCATGTTGGGGGCCTCAGAGCTGAACACTAGGAACACAGTTCCCAGACTTTGACTGAGTGATGTCACAAGTGCCTGGGGAGGCGGGACCGATGTGCTGCAAAAATTTCAGCAGTTCAAAATTCACTGGTGTGACTAACTGGAACACAAAGAAAACTTGCAGGGAAAAGAAAATTATACAAACATTTCCAGACACCAAATTGTTATATTGAAACACGACCACTTCTCCTGGGATGGGGTTCTGCTTCCATAGTACCCTCAGGTCAATCCCACATCCCCAAGGCATCACTACTAAGCACAGCATGAGAATGGGTCAGGATAAGTGTCCATGTACTCTAACATGCATTATCTCACAGTGACCAAGGATGATTATAAGAACAAAGCAACATGTAGCAAAATTTCCCTCCTGTCTGTTTTTCCATGCAGCCTATGATCCAGAATTACCTCTAAAGATGGCATCAAGGACTTCTAAGCCATGAAGTTGTCCTATTTCCCCTTTGGGTCATGCAACCCTTTAGTATTCATGACCTCCTATAGCAACAGCTTCCACAGCTCAGCCAAGCGCCATGGAAAGAAACACTTTTTTGCTTGTTTTGAGCCTGTCACCTGCTAGTTTCATCTGGTGCCCTCAGGTCCTTGTCTTGGAAGAGGCATCACACAAGCAATTCCCATCTGCTCTCTCAGCGCCACTGGTGAGCTCTTTAATCTCTGTCACATCCCCCAGCCCCTGGTCATTTCTTCGCCAACTTGCTCATTCCTCGTACGGAAGCGATTACCGTCCCTTGGCCATCCCTCCTGCTCTTCTGAACCTCTGAGATGGACCAAAATAAGAATTTCCAAGAGGTAAATGCACTGTGGCTTCGTATAACGGCATAACGACGTTCTCTGATTTGTCCTGCTTCCCTTTCATGGCAATCCCTAACGTGGTTTGCTGCTTTTGATTGGCACTTAGCACCGAGCTGACCTTTCCACTGCCTATCACCATCCAAAGCTCTTTTTCCTGAGCAGTAACAGTCAGCTCAGAGCCCACTGCTTTAGGATGGAAAACAGGATGAAACGAGGAAATTAGGTTGTCTCCATCTTCCCCAAACTCCATCACTTCATAGTTGAACTTCTCCTTCCATTTTAATGCTCGCTGAGCCTCATAAAAGCTTTCCTGCAATTCTTTAAGCCAGGCTGCACCCTTTATGCCCTGATTAAACTTTGTTTCACTTGCAAATATCACCACTTCACGACTCACAATTTTTCCAGTGAGAGATTTATTGAACCCCGCAAGTCCCTGTAAAGAGCTTTGCTGACCTCTCTTCCCCATGGTAACTCACCATCCACTTCCCTCCTGCATTTCACCTTTTAGACAAGTATTTATCCACACAAGGAACTTCCTTCCAAAGTCAGGACTCTTAATTTCCTTAAGAGCCCCTGCCATGAGAGATCATATTGAAAACCTTTCAGAAATCCAAACAGGCTACACCAAGAAGGTGCTTCTCATCCACATTCTTGCTGTCTTCATCCAAGTGCTCCCATATGATTGTGAAGCTGGGCTGCCTTTTGTAAAAGCAATAATGACATTTTCCTTGGATGTAATCATGCATTACATGAATAATAGAATCATAGAATGGTTAGAGTTGGGAGGGACCTCAAAAGTCATCTAGTTCCAACCCCCCTGCCATGGGCAGGGAAACCCTCCACTACACCAGGTTGCCCAAAGCCTCATCCAGCCTAGGATGGGGCAGCCCACG